AAAATAATTTAAGTCAAATTTGAGTGTTCACAGATAAAAATAAATAAATAAATAAATAAATGATTATGACTAAGAATTTAGGTCAATACAAATATACAACTCAAGTCAAGCTTAAACTTATATTAAGATTGGTCGAGATTATGTAAATATCAATCTATGTAAAAATATACTTGTTAGCTATATTTAAAATAATAAATAAATAAAATAATAGTATAATCAAAATCCGAGATTCAACACATATCACAATGGTACTTCATAACTTAGGCAATCCTAGCTAAGTCCAAAAAGTTGGCGCAAGTGTGTTTCATAACTTAAGCAACTACAGCTAAGTCCATGACTTTATTATAAGGGTGCCTCATAACATAGATAACTTTAATTAAGTTTGTAACAATGTGGTATCAGTTGGTAAACAATTCAAGAAAATAGCAAAGAAGTTTTGTAATTTCATTATGTCAAAGCATTGTGGAAAATCTAATAAGATGGGCAAGCTGGAACATTGCCCTAAGCAATCATAGGTGGGTTATAAGTGCAAACTTGCTCTCATGCTTTTGGAGCCGCTCAAGAAGCACGACAACCAACAAGATGAGCGAGAGGTTAGCTATTTTCCATTATCAAAGGAGGCATAATCTAGAGCATAAATCAGGAAAATAAGCCATAAAGAGATAATCATAGTAGTGGAAACCCGCCTTGAATTCTTGAAACGAGTCTAGAGGAACTCTAGTAAAGCTAACAAATGCTTCTTAGGGTAGAGAGCTCACAAAAAGAAGCTGAACCTCAAATCAACAAAGTTGAGTCCCTTGTTGATCGATTGACGAAAGATACCAAATACTCCATGAATATTTACATGAAGTCATTACAAAACTCACGTCCAGGGTAATATTGCATGCAAGTGCTCTTAATGTTGGAGGGAGTAATACTGATATTGTGCCACCACAAAGCTTGAGGCCACTTGAGCTGTATTACTGTGGGGGTGCTAGGGATGCTAAAGTGCTTGAAAATTTTATGTTTGACAAAGAACAATACTTTTGAGCTACAAGGCTTATTTTTGAAGATACTAAAGTTTCGATAATAACCATGTATTTGAATAAAGATGTAAAACTTTATTAGTGAATAAATTGGGAAGAGATCCAATAAGGTCGGTGCTGAGTGGCCATATATGAGGACTTGAAGCAGGAGTTGAGGACTCAATTCTTACTCGAGAACAAGGAATTCATTGCAAGAAGGAAGCTAAGAGAACTCCTCCAAAGTACTTTCATTCGGGACTATGTGAAACAATTCTTGCATAGAAACTGGACATAAATTTATTTATGATCATAAATAAACTTTTAAACAATGATATATAAAGTTTTTTGATATCGTTACTTTCTTTATATTTAAGAAAAATATTATTGATTAGTATTTATATCTAAAGATCAATAAGAGCAAGCTTGTTATAGTAGTCTTATATATGGATAATCTTCTATTTGCCAATAGTGGTTTATTATGCCAAATCAAAAAATGTCTCATCAAGAATTTTAATACAGTTGATATAAATGAGGTATCTTATATTATTGGAATTAAGATTTTTAAAGATAGATCTCAATAATTGTTAGGACTATCTCAAAAAGGATATATTAATTGAATCTTAAAGAGATTTAGTATATATCTTTGTTCAGCAAATAACATAAGTAAAAATTTTAGTCAAAACAAGTATTTTTAAAATAACTTAAAAATAATATAATAAAAAAAATATTCATTATGCATTTATAGTTAGAAGTCTATTAGATTCTTAAGCCTATATCATACTAGATATCATTTTTGTAGTCAAAATACTATGTGTATATTAGAGTTATCTAGGAATGAAATCCTATAATAAGATATCTGAAAAGATCAAAGAATTATATAATCACATACACGAAATTAGGTTAAATTAAAATCATAATTTTTTCAAATATTGATTTTATAAATTATTTTGATAATAGGAAATTCACTTTACATTTTATGTTTATTAGTTGAATGGGCAATTTAAAAAAATATCAAGTATAGAAACTGATTTTATGATTTTTTTGAGGCTATTAGTCAAATTTTATGATTGTAAAATTTTATCTGGTGTTGTCAAACTCAATTGTAAAATTACTGAATATTTTGCTAGGGCTCCTGGCCTGTCTAGGCACGAGATGGTCCCATGTGTCGTTCGTTCGTAAGGAGGAGCTTCGGATGTTCAACAATGCTTGGTTTTAATGCGTGTCCGTGTTCCTTTAACTGTGGTTGAAGATATCAGCAGACGAACGTGAGATGCCTTTTGCTTGCATCCGTAGCATCTAAAACCTGCTCAAGACTGGATTTATGAGAGCAAGGAGAAGAACCGGATGCTGTTGTTGCAAGTTCATGTGTTTAATGAGCAAAGCGAGAGCTCATCGCAAGGAGCCACCGAGCACGCGCGGTTCCAAGAGCTTCTCCGCCAATCCCTCCTCTCGGCACATGGTCGTGCGTGTTTGGGGTCTCGGATCGAAGTCAAAACCCCATTTCTCCAGGTCGAGGTCACGGGGAAGACATAATTGAACAGGAAGAAGACAAGCGTTAAGTTCGTTTCTAAGCTCAGCGTGGCCGCTCGCCGATGGTCCGCCAGCGTTGAAATCTTTGCGTTTTACTGAAAGGTTTGACTGTGCTGCTTAAGCGAAACCACAAGAAATGTGAAGGAACGAGCCGATGCCACACATTTCAACGACAGCTTTCAGAGCAAATGTGTATAAGTTCAGCAACCCTGATCTCTTAATCCAAGTAACATCTTCATTGCTTGAGAAAACAATGATTTCAAGTCAAAACTGTTCTCAGATCGAAATTATAGTCTCCCTCTAGATTAAGGATATCTATGTGAAGACTCCGATATAAGATAAATTTGCACAAGCAAAGCAATTAGTCAGAGAGAGAGAGAGAAAGAGAGAGGAAGTTTGGTGCAGCGGGGACGACGTCATCGATCTGGCGCTCAGTTGATATCGGATCTCGATGATGGATCCGGTATCGGTTTTTGGTCGGAAGTCCGGCTCTAATTTTGGATCGGATCCTCGTTGTTACTGATTGAGATCCGACCCTAGTTATCGTTTGACCTCTCATGAATTGTGCTGTAGTATCGGGCCGACATGCCCCCTTCTTTTATTGGATGGGTTTGGTGTATTGGATGTTATGCCCGATATTTATTTATTTATTTATTTATATTCTATGTTAGAATATTGTTATCAAAGTCACAGTTCTTATCGTTTGATTTTAATTCAACAGTTAAAATTTGTCCGATATTTATTTATTTATTTCTTATCATTTGTGAGGATGAGCATGATAAGATTATTCCTTTACATATTGAAGATTATGATTGAAATCATAAAAATAGTTTCTTTTAAAGATGAAGGTCACTTATGCAAGTGATCCTTAGCAACTATGAAAGAAAATGATCATACAATACTACTTATATAGTGTATCAACTAGCCGAAAGAAGAACCTTTCCCATCATATTCATCATTTTACTAATTCTCTTTATATTTTATGATGGATAATTATGAGGATCATACGTATAAGAGAATATATAGTATTTTAGTTCTATCGAAGAAATAATTAGAAAATAAAAACAACAGATATAAAATTAATAAATCCCCTGATGTCGATGGCCTTAAAAATAGATAGATGGAAGTGATGGTGCAATAGTATAAGTTTTTTTTTTTAAGTTGTATTGTAAAATTATAGACCCTTAGTTTTGAACTCGAGGACATAAAAAAGTTCATAGATGATTTTGAAGTGGTTCCGATGTGATTTCGAGGTAGAGGGTTGATCTCTCGGAGCACTACCTGGATTAAGATTAATGTCAAGAGAATTTTTTGACCTGGTCACTCTAACGTTCAAGTCAGTGGTCGAGGACTTCATGAGTATGAGCTTTTTTTTTTTGGGAAGAGAGATTGCTAGGAGTTAGGTTTTGTACTTAGTCCACCAAGAGGATAGCTTGTAATTGCCTCAATATCTTCTTTTACGTTTTGTCCACATGAGCGACGAGAGGGAGACAAGCTTAAACAGTCTCCCTTAGATTGTTATCGATGGGGACCGACAAGCAAATGGTGATATGGGTCTTTCTTATCATACCAACCTCCATGTAATGATTAGATGTCACGATTAGGTATCGAATAATGATTGATCGTCAATATATATTTTATTAAAATATAATATATTTTTAATATAAAATATTTACTTCATATTTTATTTCATGTTTGCTGATAAGATTAACATGTCATGATTCATGATTACGAGAAACCATCACCTCACACAAGGGAAGCTTTTGAGAGAGGATCTATGGAAAATCCATGTTTGTCATGGATCCTTCTATTATATTGGATGAAAAAATCTCTCTCTTCTCTTGCCTTCACATGCAGTGCTAGATGACAAAGATCATCTCTTATGGTACTGCGGGTTTGGTCATTCATCAAAATGGATCAATTTCATCTCTGTCAACAAGAAATTATTTCTGCTAGTGTTTTTCAAGTTGAGCTTTGTTTAAGATCAGACCAAGTTTTGATGGAAGATGATGTTACTAAAGAAATTAAGAGAACAACCTAATATGAAACCAAGGCTTTGACGATCGTAGTAAACTGTCATGTCTTTAGTAAAAACTATACTTAGAACAAGTTCCTCCTTGGTTTTTATTATTTTAGGAGGGTATCGACTTCGACTGTTGACGAAGCTCATAAGATCTTAACCATGTAAGTTACTGGGCTCATCAATGTGGGAATCACAATGATGCAAATAATAAATCAATGGTTGATAGATGAACGGCCTTTTTATTTTGGTATGTTCACGTTAGTGTGAAGATGATCATCTTATTGTTATTATTATTATTGCTTTGTAGACTCAAATTACACTCAGTTTAAGTGCCACAAGCCAACTTATGCTTATACTTCATTATTAGCTTCCTCTTTTTTTGGGAGGAAAAAAGTAAATAATTTATGACTCTACTTATTTAAAATAATAAAAAAGTCATTACATCAAATAATGTACATTCAGATTTATTACTTATGCAACAATACATTAACCAATCCGAATAACTCAACAAACACTAAGCCAACTCACTTTAAGCATACAAAGATTCATATACACAATACTATATGTTTATTTGATGCTTCGATAAAGTAGATAGCGTTATCCGGAAACACACTTATTATCAAGTTCAAGCAACACACTATAAACTTTCTTAACATTATAGGATTTTATAGCATGAGGCTTTCCACGAGCCTCCTCCCTTCCGGTTTTGTGGAGAAGTAAGTTTTCATGAACTCTCCGTAGCTCATCGACACATACTTCGGCTTGCATCCCTTCACGATCTCTGCAAGAGGACCAATCACCGAATCTTCTCTTGGCCCATGGAGGGCAGCGACCGTGGCGCGATCTTCCTTGAGGTTTATTATCGCCCGATGCTCGAGGCTTTTGTACACACCGTTGCTCAATATCTATTTCAAAAAGTCTTTTGTTTTTGTTAGAAAATATTTATATATAAGAAGATATTGAAAAAAAAATCAAAATATTAATTTTACATTAGTAAATATTGAGAGAATCTCGTAATCTATAAACATAATTTATTTTTGAATTGAATTAGTATCGCACATGATTAATATATGTTGATTCTGACTAGTTTGAGTGGAGTTAATGACCTCGATGATATCACCGATGTAAGCGGTGAGAGCGCCGGGGAGTGGCTTCACCGGGAACCAATTCCCCCCCTTCCTGATTTGGAGTCCTTCAACGTCGTTCACATGTAGGAGTAACGTCAAGCCGGTGCCGTCCGTGTGTGACGAGAGGCCCAACACCTCGTCAGCTCTTGGACATGGGGGATAATAGTTGATCTTCACTCCCTGCGGTTGGTCCTGAAATATAGTAGAGAACTCCTCCGGTGCGACCCCCAGATTCTTCGCCATCACCTCCAGCAAAGTTCCTGCCACGCTCTTCAGCTCCATGGAGTAGCAAGAGAGAGAGTCTCTGACAGCATGAAGCAGCAGCAAAGGACGTCATATACGTACGTACGTAGCTGAACCGCTGAGTAGATGACAGCACAAGTAGTCGAGATAAACCTGAAAGTGAGAGGTTGAGCGGGCCAGAGATCGATGTTCCTCGACTGCAGTGGTCGAGTTATGAGGGTCAGCATGTCCGCCCAGTCCAGCTTTTGGTCGTCAGACACGACGAAGGCTTGGCCGTAACCTTCCAAGCTGTTCGGCAACTGCGCAAATGCCTTCTTCTCTTCCAAGGGAAGCTTAAAGAATTCTACTATATCAGCCTTCATCTTCTCCGTCGCTTGATCGGGAACTCCGTGATTTATCAACTGTTAGTCAGCATTAACGATTTGTTATGTTGCAGTTATGGATCACACGGTTTCGATCCGTAGATCGACTGACCTGGAAGAT